CAAAGGTGGCACCAAAACCCATTCCATACACAAGTAATTTTCTGAAGGGTTGAAAACTCCTTGTGCCTGCACACACTGTGTACCAGTATGTAGGACCAAGGAGGACTTGCAGCTCAAAATTATTATTTTTTTTGCAATCATCAGATAAAAGTGAGAGAAGCCAGTACATGAAACAATCTGCATGCCAACTCATTGAACCTACAAACAACAAAGCATGTTAACTATTCCCCACCAGCCATTCACCTGAACAACTATATATATATAGTCTGTTCCCCTAAGATTTGCCAGATTCTGCACATTCTCCTTTAGTCACACTGTAATGGTTCTATCGAGAAGTTTATACAAGTTTTCATGACTAGGCTTATGCTTTCACTTCTTACTTACCAATACATCACAAAGGTACAACAATCACAACCTAAACAATACTGGGCAAACGCCGGAGGTTACACAGACATTAAAGAGGGCACTGGCTATGCTCTATAGCCCTAGATTACTGCTTGTAAAACTCCTGGAGACATTGTCTCCAACATCTTCCAGGCTGTGGAAACTCTAGCTCTTTGTTCATTACCCTACAGTAAAAACAAAACACTGGCAATGTGCAATGTAAGCGTTATACTTGCCACCTTTGAGCCACCCGGATCAAAAACATTAAGGCAGGCCATGATATTTCTTATCAAGATGCTGCGTGGAAACAAGTCTCGGAAGGATAATGAATTAGTTCCCCTGAGATTAGGTACCACACTTCCTTTTCCTCCTTCTGCATAATAATCACACATAATGGAGCCAGAGAGGAGTTTTTACATTATTACCAGCTGGCCCTCCTGAGATTTTGTGTAACATGCTAGACTGACAAAGAATGAAGTGCATGTCATACACTGAACGAAAAGCTCTCCACTTACTCCCTCGGAGCACGAAATTAGTGGGGGAAATGGCTCTATGGAGGACTTTTTTTTTTTTTAAAGACTCATTACTCTTAAAAACGGATAAAATGAAGCAACACATAATGAAAGATTCCCCCCCCCCATGTACTGTCTACATGAAAACGCAGGTCATTAGGGAGCCGTGGAGCCTGGAGCTCACCAGCAGCTTTGATCCCATGCAAATGAGCAAGACGAAACACTCACGCAGGCCACAGGGTAACCGTAACTGTCTGGCAGCCGCAGGATCACCAGGAGGGGTTAAACACAGCAGCTCGCCTATGAGGCCAGACAGAAAGGGGGTCTGCTGTACAGAGCAGGGGGCAAGGGCACTGCCCTCTCAATACTTGTAACAAAAGGCCCCCCCTCATTATCTCACAGAGGCCTGCTTCCGCTCGGCTGAATACCCGCACTGTACTACACAGAACAAACCTTGTTCCGCGGGTTGTGCAGAAAAGCTTCCTAATAATAAATGCCACAATCCTAATGAAGCCATCGCAGAACAGATGCGGCGTTTACACACAAACTCGATCACAGCTGAAACATGGAGCAGCTGCTGGAAAACACGCCGAGACGATTGCGTTCAGAGAAAAAGAGCGCTGCTTAGAAGCGATCCCAAGGCGGCGCACACCTACAGAAGTGTACAGGACGGGCCTGCGACAGGGGTCGTCTCGGGCTGCGATTTACGTCCGCAGCTTTTGTTTTGCTGCCTAGTCCTTGAAACCCTGAAGGCTGAGCCAGCCAATCATCTCAAGGCCAGGAGCTGGGCTGGGCATTGTTCCGCTCTGATTAAGGCACAAAAACATCCGTGGCTGTTCTCTGGACAGCTTTACATCATCAACCAAGCCCACGCGACCCGCCTTTTTAAAAAAAAAAAAGTCATATTGGCCGTTTTTGACTTCCCGTTTCCACTGCACAATGAAATTCTTCAATGGCTCACAGAACTGAATTGAAACTGAAAGGCTGTACAGTGACTTTTCATCTTAAATAAAAAGCAAGAACAGTCTCGGCCCTACTCTGCATGTCACCACTGTGCATAACTGCCATGTTTCATGCAACAAAGGAACCCTTTCTTATCCCTTTTTGAAACAGCAGATCATTTCTAGGAAAACAGATCATTTCAGTTGGAAGCGGCACAGATTTTGATCGGCTTTTAACCGCTGATCCAACGGGATTAGCACTAAGCCCGCCGCACTGATCATTTCTGGGGGCCGTACAAGATCAAATTTCTAAACAGGGATAACTTTTAATGTTATGAGCTCTCTTAGCATTGAGGATACTTAAAAACATGTCCAATTCACCTTTATCTATACCTGGAAACATGCAAAAACGTTGTTGTTTTTTTAGATGGGAGTTTGCATCACACAAATCAGAGCATGGAGCATACAGCGTGGATTTAAACTCATACCAACTCCGTTGTATTACTTTAGACATTATTAATTAGTCATTGGTCGGGAGGCTCATAAGTGGGACACTTCTTTTGAAGTATCTTCAGCATGGAACTTGTTATAGGTCTCTCTTGCCTTGCAGACAACATCTCCAGCAGAGGAAACTACAAGTCATAATGTCACTGCGGACGCTGGATGAAGAGATGCCTTGTTTCAGAGAAGACGCCTGAATTATCTGGCGGTAACTGCAACATTACACGTCCATCCTTTCACATTTGTACAGAACAGCCAGAGGAACAACACCGCGGCCTGCTGGGAAACACTTCTCCCTCCTCAATCTTTAAAATGTACCTAAAGCCAGGGTAATAATAATTCCTCACACTTATATAGCTCTTTTCTAGACACTCCACTCAAAGCACTTTACAGGTAATGGGGACTCTCCTCCACCACCACCACCACCAATGTGCAGCATGTGTAAACCTCTTTCTATACAGTCACTTCAGTCTGCAGGCTGGAATCAGAAAAGCTTAGACCCACAACAACAACAACACATTCAGAGCAGTTAGCAAAGAGGTTCAGACAGAAGCATATGAGTGTGTAAGACTTATTAGTAAAAGACCCCAGGTGGCTTGGGGTCAGCCCTGTTTTTGTAATCCCACTGAGTGGGAAATCCTAACTCATATTTCACAATAAGAGGATTGCTGAGTAGCAATACCTAGGTGTCTTGTGGCTTTCAGAGATATACAGCACATCCCTTCTGAACTGGATGAATGTATATTGTCAACGTTAGACTGTAACGGATAAGCATACAACAACAAAAACACGTATATATAATGTATATAAAGATCTGCTCTCGGCTATGAACAACGGCGTGTGGGGAAAAAAAAAACCCATCAGCACACGAACCAGCCCAGTCAGGGAACACGGTTCAAATACTGACGAGTCATGGAAAAACAAGACTTGTGAGTGTTGCTAATTGGCGTTCATTAGCTTTCCGAAGGAGATCTCGCATTGTCGTCTAGACCACTTAAAATCGGTTGTGAGCAATAATAAATGCCAAAAAAACTGCCAGCGTACACAACAATAAACTACACAACCGTACCGAAGCAAAATTTCAATCAAGAGACTTAAGAGCATGAAGTTATTTTGCCGGCATTTTACTATCCTCTGAAATTCTCTTTTAAAAAGGAGATGAAATGGGCGGTAAAAGGACTTGGGGGTAAATTCAAAACATGAACTCGGCAGAAGGGGACAAGGAAGGTCGGGAAGCGGACAATAAAACGCTGAGTCGACAACGTGATGATCAACTGACTCCACAGAAATATTGATTTGACACCGAAACACTGCTTCTCAGAGGGGAGTATTTCACCTGAATCATGAGGGTCGTTTATTGTTCCGAAATTTAAAGGTTACAGCAGTGTACAGCTTTATACACTTCTTATCAATACAGTGGTAGCTTCATACGCTTGCATATTCAGTGGCTACGTGAGGGAACCAGTTGTTTCTCAGCTATCAAAACTTTTCCACATTTTCCAGTCATGGATGCTGATAACATTCAAACTCAGAACCGTCAGTTTTAGGTTTATGGCCATTTAAAGCAGTTATGCATTTTAGCGTCACGTGTTGAAACGCATCAGACCCCAAAGGAAACAGTAAAAAGTCTGTTACTCCATATTGTGCTAAATACCTTTAAGGTCAGAAAGAACGCCGCATTTAGCTTAACAGTTATCTGCTTGGAGTGATGCCAACTATTTTAATTCCCTTATCAGACACTACTCGATAACGGCTCCTCTATTTAGCACGGAAGGTTAGTTCCCTAGTAAACTGCATCTAAAGGTGCGTCTTTTTCTCTTCTTTTGAGTGGAACATGATCACAGGTATCATTTCCTGCGTGTGCGGATAAATAACACCTCGCAAGAGGCTTACAAATCCTTAACCCACCGCCGCGCACGGCGCACCGAAACGAGTCGTCAAATACCATGCCCTAAATGCGTTTTGTGCGCTGCCACGCCGCGAAAAGAAAAGAACCAAAATGGACTTTTTTTTTTTCCGACGTAAACATCAGCTGATGGGAGGAAAAAGGCAGCTCGGCGCTGGAGAAACACCCGTCTCCAGCAGAAAAGGGAGGCGATCTCTCTCCCCCCGTGATCTCTGCTGTCAAGCAATTGCGGGCCAGCCTGCGCACTTAACAGCATCAATGTTGCGATTTCATGCTACAGACTACAAGAGGATACCATTTCCTCTCCACTTCACCGTTACCTACTCGCCCCCCGCCTGCATTCCTAGGAAACGGGAACATTTGCAAGTGTTAACGCACACCTTTAAACCACCCCCCCGAGCCGAGCTGAGCCATTCCCCTCTTCACGGTCCGCTTTCGTCGACCAAGTAAACACGCACCGAAGGAGCAGCAGCGACGTCCACGGCGAACATGACAGACAAAAAAAAAAACCCAACTAGCTTGCGTCCAAGAAAACGCGATCGCCGGATGAAAATACAAGCACTGACGCCATCAGAGGCTTTGCGGGAAAAAAATAATAATAAAGAGATCCGCGCAGTCCCGCTGCAACCATTTCAAAATAAAAAAAAAAACGAATAAATGAGCATTAGGCATGTTATGTAATCCTCCGCATTTCCCGATTCGACTGCAGCCCCGCTCCCAGCTGACCGCCCCGGGCTCAGAAGAGCGCCCGCTTACCTGTAGGCGCGCTCCCCTCGCACCGTGTGCTTCCTGAAGGGGATGATGTTGGTGCCGTTGTCCTGGATGATGTCGTTGTTATTCTCTCCATTGGGGGACAGTGCTTGGGTGGGACCGGGCATTGGGGCTACCCCGAACTGAACAGAATCTCTGTTCCCTCTTGCGTGCGGAAAGGAGGCTGGTGTGCGAGTCGCCTCTGCTCGCTGCCTGCTTTCTCTCTCCACAGTGTCTCTCTC